AAAAAAAAAAAAAAAAAAAGAAGATGATATATTCTCGGAGATCAAGAGACGTGTTCAAGCATTTCATGGAAAGTTAAAACCAATTTTTTTATTAATCTTTCTTTCTGTTCTTGTAATGTGGCATTTGGGTTTGAGGTGGAGGTAGAGGTCGCGGTGGTGGTGGTAGGTGTGGATTTTGGGTTTGAGGTGGGGGGGTAGGTGAGGGTGGAGATGAAGAAGACAATTGCATGTGTGTGTTGTGTTTTTATTTATTTATTTAATTATTTAATATGATAAATGAAAATTTACTCTTTTGTCCCTTTTTAAAATATTAAAAATATTGTCAAATTTAAATTTTTGGTCAACTGACAAAATTATGGATGAAAAACTATCCACAAGGACGTGACCTGCAACATTTGAAATCAAATTAAAAATTAAAAATTTTTTATTTTAAAAAAAATTCAATATACATGGAGAACATACGATGAAGAAAGATGGAGAGAGTCTCTTGATGCTACATTTTTAAATTTCATGCCAATGGAAAGCATATGAGAGGGATTGAAAGATGAATATTTTAAATTAATAATTGATGCAAATAAGTGAGATTAGAGATACAAGACTGCTTTTTTGTTAGTACACACCATGTAATAAATATAATTAAGATCATTATAGTTATGACATTTCTCATTATAGACTTGTTGTCAATAAAAGCAATTTGTTGTGGATTAGAACTTCTCAAAATCCGAAAATAGCCTATATGACGCTTATATATGTGAATGTATTTATATTGAACATTGGAGTTTTGAAGAAGTCGATTTGCACGAGACAAATTATCCATCTAAATGATGAATATAAGCTACTTATAAGTTGACGAGTGTTGTAATTTTTTTTATTTCAATTTAATTTCTAATATCATCGATTTAGTTGTATGAAATTTCTATTTTAGACTTATCTATTACCACATATTATTTTAATTGTATATATATTCGTTTGGGGCGTCTTAAGCACGTGGCAACCCGACCATATTATTATCTCATTATATTCATGCAAATATGCATTATTTTTTTTATTAATATTTATGAATTTGTGGAGCCATCTTTGACTGGACATTTATTTGTAGATCTATTTTCACCAGTGTGACTCATCTTTGACTTGACAATTTATATTTTTAATATTTCTAATTTTATGGTTTTTATTTAGTTGTTTTATTATTTGTTACACTATGATTTAATAATTACTTTTAGGGAAGATGACGAGACATTAACATAGGTTCAATTATATTGAACTTTGGCAATTAGGATTTTGTTGAAATGTGAACAACAATCACTTTGTATTGATTTTTGACTGATTTTTATACTAAATAAAATTATTTGAATTTTTTTCCATATTTTACCCAATTTTCAATATTAAACAAATGTTGAAGTATTAATTATAATTTGTATATGTCGCTGCATCATATTGGTATTTGAGAACAATCACATTCTTGATAAATTCATGTGTTGTATGATATTATATTTGTATGATACGTACTATATTTGCTATATGATTTTTTTAAACATTGATAAATGAATTTTTAAACTAATATATCTATGATTTTTTTTTATTTTGTATGCTAGAAATATCATAGATGAACACATAATCGTTGAAAACAATAATAGAATCGAGGTTTGATTCATCAATAGATCAACAAAATAAGTTATGCCGTTAGTTTAATTTGAAAAATATTAACTTTTTTCTGTTTTGTAAATTTTTGATGTATATTTTTGTTGTCTTAAATTTGTTTTCATATTTTTAGGATTGATGACACCAAACAAATATTACAATTATATTTTTATAAGACAATTCAATATGTTTGAAGAAGTGGATTATAATATTATCTGTACTTCGAAAATGTTTCATTTAGATCTAAAACAATAAGAGCGATTCCGTTGAAGTTTTAAAACTAATTTTGTGATGGGGTATTATATAATGTCCAAATTAGCTAATACTTTTCTTATAAAAGTTTCACTATTAAACTAATATATTATTTTTTATAATGTTTTAGGAAAGTAATTTTCAAGCTACATTTTAATTTTTCCTTTAACAATATTAATTGCCTCAACTAATTTTTTTTAAAAACGAAGCATTAGCACTCCAAAAATATTATACATATCATTCATTTGATAAATAAAATGTGCAATGCACGTGCTTAGTACTAGTAATCTTAAAAGTAAAAAGTGACAAAAGGGTTCGTTTGATTTGACTTTGAAAATCAAAAGCTATTTATGAGATAATTAAGTTCATGTTTGTCTATCATTATTTTAATTTTTTTTTCTCAAATTCATTATAAGTTATACATTCCCACAATAAAATATTCTATACTTAAACTCAATTTTTTTTACTATATATTCTCCAAAAATTCACTATTTCAAGACTCATTTTTCTATTCAATGGTAGACAAACATGACTTAAACTATTTTTGAACACATTAAAATAATTTTTTGAAAATAACTTATTTGGTTAAAATAAATTTTAAAGGTAGCTAATTTCTAATTCAAAATTGTAGCAATAAAATTTATTTATTTATATTTAAAATTAATATGTTTATATGAATAAGATTCATATAATTAATTTAATCATTATGTTTAATTTCATCTAATCCAAGTACAACAATGTTATTATTTTTCTCATTGTAAATTGAACTAAGCATTTTTCCCCGAAAATTTGAAAATTAACTTTAAAAAAAATAAAGTTTAAATACAAATTAACATATATAGTAAAGAATATTTGAGAAGCTTTCTTAACTCGAGGATTCAATTTAGGTAATTAATTGCAGGAGTGTTGAAGCTGTCTAATAACCTTAAAAAACAATGCTTAAAAATTGACCTAGCGAGTAACGTGCAATGGACAGTAGTAGGCCATGCTGCCACATAGTATTCTTTATTATAATGTAAATGAACTTGTAATTAATTTCCTGTGGATTAGATAATTCCTAGATCCTGCATGTTTGGCCATGTTCAAGAAATTACTTTATTAGTATTTATAATAAATTTCTTTATTATTAAAATTAACTTCCTACTTGTGAAAATCATTCTTTGAACCCACTAAAGAAGCATTTTCTAACTTGTAAGAGAGTTAAATACGAATCGCTTTGTACTTTTGTAACATTTTAAAATTTTACTCATATTTTTTGTATTCTCATAAAATTCAGAATTTCAACAAGAACGCTGCGAACATTAGTGCCAGTCTTTACTACTTCATTGATATCCTTAAGAATGCAAAATTATAAATAACAGCATGAAAACAACTCTTATTAGTAATTAGATTCTTAATCGAGTCAGCCGACAAGACCCATCCCTTGAATCGACCCATGCATGCCCGACAGATTTCATGATCCATTTGATATGACTTCTGCTTTTGCTTAAACTTCTTGAAAAAGATACTTTAAGAAAGCTTTTTCTAAAAACTTTTTTTGACACACAAAGTTCATTTAGAAAATTGTTCAAACATATTCAAAGGGTTGTCTGGTGTAGCTTTTCATTTGATTTTAAGCGAAAATGGAGCGGTTGAAGAGCCATTCTTTTTGACTTCCTTGACACACTCTGCATGGAAATGTGGGCTTTAACGGTGAAAGCATGAATTATCACCCTTTGCAAAGCTACGGCGGACAGCACCCAAAAGTAGTTTCTTAGTTTTAGAAGCAACTTTTGACTTTTCAAAAGTCCCACACGGACCCTTAACACATCTACCTCTTGTTCAATATTTTCACCAATGTAAATCAAATCGAGGGGAACTTCGAAATTCCCTACGCAAATTAGGATATAAATTATAAAACCAAAAGAAAATCACTTTTCCCATACATCAATGCAGTTCCAGGGCAATGGAAACTTGGATGAGAATTACTTGGGATTATGCAAATCCAGCTATTATGATAATTTCAGGGAAGACACATTTCACTCAAAGTCCAATGACTGCATTAAATCGTGTACATCACAAATGCTTACTTGAATATTAAACCAGTCTTCAAAACATGTGCTTAGATCCTACAAACCAAATCCATAGGTAGAGACCAATTCATTGACTTGCAATTAACTGAAAACTCATCATTTAGTGAAGGTTCTCTATTGGGACTTGTAATTAGATTACAAAATAGTCAATTTTTGGGTCATACACCAGATTATGGTAACATGCATAAAGACAATTAACATGTGCAGACAGGACAGTAGTAATATATTTTTCTTTTTCTCATCTTCATCATTATACTGGAAAAGAGGTTGGTTAATGAAAGTTACCTGATAAGCTGAACAACTTAACAATGTAGAACACAAGACCGTAAAATTCCAACTGGATTTCGAATTCAGAGTTAGCAAAGTGGAACTTGCAATTTTTGAGCAGCACTAGATGGTAACTACTAACCACGAGTGCATATATCGCGTTGAGAAAATGATACCAAGAATTTTTTATTTATTTGAAGTAAACATTAGAAGAGGAGATCAGAACATTGTCGTCTCAACTGCAAGGATATCAGACAAAACAATGTTGATATATTTTTATAACTTTCCATGCACATGGAACTTGCTGCATTTTACGGAGATTGCATCCCTTGAGAAGATTCATTACCTCAAATCGGGGGGCTACCTCTGAATACTAGAAAATAAAGCAATTACTTTTTAGCGTAAGCAACCTTGGCAATGGCTCTTATTTTAGGTCTTAGGATCAGTGAACAACTCCACCAAAAACTTCCTTGCCTGAAATAATTGAAAGAATTATTAGCAGCAAGAACATCAATGCTATGAACGATTACTTGCAATGCGCTTTTTCGATCCTTTTCTTGGTCAACTTGCATTGGAGTTTTTATCAAATTGACTGTCAATTTAGGATGAATTCTGCCAGTAATTGTATGATTTGGCATCGAGATTATATCCCTTTTTCAAAGAATCTATTGGAATCCGGAATTTATATGGAGCAAGAAGAAAATATTTCAGATCAAAGAATTGCAGGATGACGTCCTAGATTTGGCCAAGTAAACCCGTGAATCAGATAAATGTTTTGTTATTAGTACGCTTTTGAAAGGGAAAAAAAAGTGTTGAACAGGCCTAAGCTAGCAGCAAGTGCGAAAATAATGTCCCATTAACTGCATTAGTCTATTTGCAGAATAGGAAGGCTCATAAATTTGACAATTTGCAGCTAGCGTAAGCTCCTATAATTTTCTCATGTAACTTGAACACAGTACAAGCAACTATGCCCCTATCCAGACCTTCTAGGTATATTCCTCTGGAAAAATCCAATGGTGTCCCGCCTGCATCAGTAACCACACCACCAGCTTCTTACACGAGGAGAACATCGGCTGCATGATCCCATATCTTCTCCTTGTATCCAGATCTTGCGAATTTCATGTAAATCTCAGCTTCCCCTCGAGCAATGGCTGCATATTTGACCATGCTATAAACTTGTAACGGCTTCTTTCTGCATTTAAGAGTTAAAAATGGCTTCAGGTATCACCCTTGAAGACATGCAAGGAAGGATATGCAGAAATGCAGTAATGAAGTCTCTCAACATGCATGAGTAGCAATAAAAGATAAAAGAGGGTGGATGCCATCTCACATTTTCCACGGTCAAGAAAAGAAATAAATGAAAGAATAACAAATATGGACCAAGGATAGAAAGAGAATAGCAATCTAACTTAGGTTTCACACAAAACTAGAATGATATTAAGCCCCTGTTTGGTACTGTTAAAAAATCTGATTAAATCTAAGTCAAAATCAACAATTAATTTTAATCACACATTTCATATGACCCACAATTTTTCAACTACACATTCCATCAACTTTTATTAAAATCTGCTAAAAATCAGATTTTAATCTCTACCAAACAGGGACTAATTGTGCTATTTATGAGCTTTTCTCCATAAGATTACCCTAGGCAAATCACACTTATGGGCATCAAAAGTGACCATCATCTGACAACATATTTTCCAGAATGCAAGAATTGAAATCAAAGACAATTGGACTAAGATCACACTCTTCAATTGTCAACCATTTGGCGGCCTTGTAGCCTGTGGAAGTAATCTGCGATTTGTGAAGTTCATGAATCTTCACCTCAATAGGCACGAATGCAAGGAATTGAACTATAATTTCCAATAGCATGAAATAGTGTGCATCACGGACCACAGCCTGACTGTGTTAGCAATTCCAGCAGCAAAGGAACGCTTTGAAATGGATTTCTACAATTGCTCACACAATGTGGCTAATGCAGGATCGTCAATGGAAGAAACATGTATAGTTCTTGCTGAATTTTGCTGCTAAGGCCTCTTATCAATATGAATTAAGGGCTGCATCCAAGCTTTACTGTTGCCTTTTCCTGTGTGCATCACACAACCTTCTTCCCGCAATGACATTTCTGACGTAACTTGACATTGTTGACTATATTTGATCAGACTATCATCGTTCACTGGGTAATAAGGCCACCCAAGTACTTGCAACTTCTCCACCATCAATCAGAGCAAGAGCAATGGCATACTGATCTCGGTGCACAAAAACCAGTGTTCCATCAACAGGATCAAGGACCCAATGCCGTCCCACAGGGCCCCCAGATGAGTTGCATCGGTTGATTGCTTCAAGAACTTGCGAAGCACCAAGTGCTTCATTTGGACCCTTAAGACCAAATTTAGGTGCCTCTGCTAAGCATTCATTCACTGCACTGACCACCATTCCCAGTTGAGCTGACGATTCAGGCTTCGAAAGAGTTTGAACATCTTCTTCTGCAACAATGGAGATATTTTGTCCACCAAAAGCTTCTGAGAGCGTCCAACTTACAGTTGCTTGCACACTCCAGTCTGTTCATGAAGAAGCATTCAAAATAACCAAATCAGGCACTCATAGCCTGCATTTTAGCAAGTGCAATAATTTGATTTATACACCTTCTCCCAGTTTGAATGTCTTGCTTTTACTTTTATGGTGAAGCATACTACTTCGTTTCATAATATCCTACTATATGTTTAGTTTTGAGAAATAACTGGGAAGTCATGAAATTCACATTAAGACTGCTACGTAGAATGTCTATTTAATCAAAAAGCTAAATGAATTTGATGAACTGCTTGATATAAAAGCTTAAGCAGTTATAGGGCCATATATACATCATTTAAACTTTGTCTTCAACATGCCCCTCACGTGTGAGCATGATTTATTTCAAATTCTAACGCATGTACAATTTCATTAAAAGGGCAACAAGAATTGATACCATGTTAGGAATTATTAAAGTGTGTATGATGTTTCTTTCGTAGTACAAAGGGAAAAGATTCTATTTATAGGGTTATATATAGTTCTCAGATGAAAGATTCTGCGATAATTACACAATTAATTATGAAGGAAAATAATCCACACAATTGGAAAAATATCACATAGAATAATCATTCCATATTTTTAATAGAATTGATGTAGGTTATGACTTTGAGGAAACCATCATTTGGGCCCTAAACTATAAACAAGACATTCAATTAGGACAGAGGATTGTACACATCAGAAACTGGATCACTGGTTTTACTTTGGAACATGTTTTTTACACAGAGGAACCATAACATTTTAAAGATTTGTGAAACATGGATGTTGCTTCTCTTTCTTAAGAAGCTTTGCCAGTTAAGAAAAGATCAAAAACTCTTTTCAAATCTTCATATATCTTTCTATATTATAAGTGGCTATGAAACGGCAGTAATAGAAATTGTTCTTCCACATTTTCCACTGTTTATTACTCTACAACAGAATTTCTTGTTCCACCGTTAACTTTAACTCCTCTGAAGTAGTAATTAAATCACTGTGTTCTGCCCTCAAGAGTCGAAGACGGAAGACCGCAAGAGCTGCAAGGCGATTCGGCGACGGGCGAACTACGAAGTCGAAGGCCGAAGGCGAAGGGTAAGGGTTCAATATCCAAGAGAATATCGATGCTGGAGAACCCACAAATGGGCTCTGCTTTTGTGTTGAACCAGATGGGGAATGAGGGTAAGAAACTCTCCAAATGGGAGCTTTGTAAAGTTGTTAAGGATCTCA